CTCATGTCGATCCAATGGTAATTTGATATCGCTGCCATCACCATAATATAGTGTAGCACAGAATGGCCTTGTATCATACTTTGACATCATGCATGCAGAAATGCCTTCGTCATTCATGTGGAGATATTACCATCACGATAGAATTAGTTACGCCAAGTAAAGGCCCGGTCACACTACACAACGATAACGATACGATAAATTGTAAACACGCGATAATTGGCAAAAAAATTGTGTTAGTGTCCACACAACAACGAAAATGATAAAATTATCGTTAGACGATAACGATAACGATTTTAAAATCGCTCACCTGAGCGATTTTTTTTTCAGTCGGACGATAACGATAAATTTTTGACCAATCAGCGCGCGTATACAAGTTATCGTATCGTTATCGTTGTGTAGTGTGACCGGGCCTTAACACGTCGTACACGTCAGGTAAAAGCTGAAATATTTTAATATTTGCCATAATAAGCCCATAACCTGTTGGGATGAATTAGAATTTCAGTTCAAACCGGGGTGAAACCTCAGCCAGGGCTAAAACGATCAATGGAGCTATTCCGCTCCTTCAAAGAATTCAAAATGTTGTTAATACCCAAACTAACATCATAATGCGGAAACTAACTTCATAAAAGGAAAACTAACTACATAAATGCGAAAACAACAAAAGAATTGTAAATCTGTAGCAAAATCTCATCCCTAAAAATGTTCCATATTTTGTAAATAGTCTCTATACAGACTATGCGGAAATTATATTTAAAGTAACACGAAGTATTTGGAGGAGCTTGAAATGAACGCTGACCATTGTTTTGGAGTGGCCGAAGGCGTTGATCACGTGACCGTCATCTTCTTCGCTCCCTGCCATTTCCTTTTACAAGATCTGAATGTCTATACAGGGAGTGGACGTAAAAACTGTGCATTTTTTTACATCAAGAAGCTGTGACAGTGGCCATTGAAGGCCACGACATGTTGCCGTCATGAAAAACAAAGCGAAATATGGCTTAATCCGTGGACACCGCTTTCCTAGCTTGTTTTTATGCGGGTTTAAATTTGGTACACTTTGGTAGCAAAGGACTATTTATATTTTTGTATACAATAATAAATATCGTGTTTCCACGATGACCGACTTGCAGCAGCGGCGAAATGAACTTGAAAAGGCCGTTGGAAACTCAAGGCATCCTTTGCATATCGATGGACTGCTTGTAAGTTGTACAAACGTCAAGAAAATATGCACAAATTTCAGGAATTGGGCATGTTGATTTGCTGTATATGTCGAGGACAATAATAATATAATACATTTCGCTTTTGTGTTTTTAGGATAGCGTACAAGCTTTGGCAAATGACTGTGACTTTCCAGCACTACGAAAAAATAAAAACCTGGAGAGCTTTTTATCACGATGTATGATTTATGTTGTTGTTTATTGAGCATAGTTGAAACATGAAATATGTAAGACTCGACCAAACAATGTGTTTTCTTTTGCATAGATGAAAAGCCATCAATTTTTATACGTGATCATCGCATGAAACACAGCGATTTCGATCTTGTCAAAGTGATAGGACGTGGGGCATTTGGCGAAGTTCAACTGGTAATGCAATAAAGTTATATTTGATTAATATAAGTTATATGTTTTAAGTGGCTTTCTTAATACCGAAGGTCGAAGTGAACTAATTTAATATGCTAGCAAATTCTATGTTTATATGCTTTATAAAACACAATACACAATAGTTAATTCGCTGTCTAAGACATAAAATTAAGACACATAAACCGTTTTTCTCTCTTCGATATTTTATTAAAAGGTAATCTAAATGATATCTGTCTTGTTTATTTATAATTACGTATCCTATCTCTTGTTTTGACAGGTCAGGCACAAGGATTCGAAAAAGGTTTACGCGATGAAGCTTCTGAATAAATTCGAAATGGTATGTCCAAAATACTTGTCAAATACTATTAACTATTAGCTACAGTATCTATTTATGTTAGATGCGAATTTTAGAGGTGAAATAGTTTAGATCGTCAAAATTAAGTTGCGATCAAATCTACATTATATAATGGCGAACCAATAAAATAAAACGGTAAAAATATTTAAATTTTGTAAGAATTAGAAACTATTTAAGCCATCTTTTTATTCCGGAAAGCCATTTATATTGTTACTTGTTTGATTCTTGATAGCCGGTCTTTGAGAAACACTTGCATTAAATTTCAGAAAAAGTTGTCAACATTCGTGCTTGTTATTTGATTTCCTTGTCAATATAAAACCCCAATAGTTTTAAACCTCAAAGTAGGACAGAGTTATTTACTTAATTTATTCAACACAAATGTAGATAGTTTAAAATTTCAATGTTTGCCAACAAGCTATTGTTTTATATTGGTATCTAGTTATTTCCTTGAAATTTGACACCCATCGCCCAAAAATGCATATACTTTAAATTGTTCAAATGCTTGGTTTGAAACGGGTATTGGGCTTTTGGGCATACAGTTGTATTTTGTTGGCACAAAGTTAACAGGGAATTAAGATAATATATAGTGGTTTATTAACCCTTTAATTGAAATGATAAAAAACATGATAAATTAACATGATAAAACGTGAAAATAAACATGATAAATTTAATTTTTGAACATGATAAATTTGAACTCATTTATACTGTAAATCTACTATTCTAAGTTATTACTTCCGTGCTTTGGAAATTTCCTACGATCCTGAAAATCCAAGAACATTCAAAACTATATGTAACAAGTGTAATACAGCTCGGAATCTGGTTCAGCCCAGGGTCTTACAGGGTCTGAAATTTGATTTTTTTTTAAGTATCCACATGGATACCAAGGTTTTAAAATTTGGTATCCCTCCCGATAATCCAGTATCCTAAATCTGGATACTTAAAGGGGAAGTCAAGTCCGTAATGTAAACAAACGGTTTGTTTACATTTTGAACTGCTGTATTTTTTAAAATATGATGTACTGTCTGAATATCTAACACCATTTTGGTTCGTTATGCTTCTACATGAATATGAAATAGAGTTTGTGTTCAGAAAAATTCGAAACATTCAAAATTTGGGCAATGTTTACCTCAGAGGGCCCTCTATTGTTATGCGCAGAACCGATGCGCAGAACGGACTTGACTTCCCCTTTAACTAGTTGGCTTTTCGTATCCCACAGGGCCAGACCCAACATCACTCTAAGGCTTACTCTTAGTCAAGCATTTTCATCCATCGCATTTTATGTTTAACATACTAGAATCCTAAAAGGAACTTATACAGTTCAAATATTCAATTTCTTAACAGTTAACAGGGTTATTTAATTATAAATTAAAGTCTAAGTGTCAACTTCTCTGATTTTCAATGCTATCAGTATGCACTCAAATGCGAACTACGGGAACTACAGTGTCATTATCATCATCATTGGCTGTATTATCATGAAGACCATTGCCTGCATCAGGAGTTTTGGTGGTTTTAATTAAATATTTTTTACATAATATCACAAGAAAGCATGGATTATTTATGAGTATTTTAGTTCATGACGGCAGCAAAAAAAATGTATTTCTTTTTTGCTAACTATCGACCTTCAAATTTCCTTACAATCTTCTTGACTTTTCTTCACGTGCCCACGAATACCGCCTGCTACGCAGGCTAGACTTTTCTTGATTTCAAAAAGATTCTTTTCAATGAAATCTGGACAGTTGTTTCAATGTGGAAACACTATTCAAAATGGCGACTCGCGAATTGAACCATGAGTGGACTACATGCATAAATACAACGTTAAGACGAATGCTAGACTTGTGTTACAGCACTATTTAATGAACAAAAATGTGGGGAGACTACTAAAACATTAACTGCTATCCCGTTTTTTAAAAAAATGTGGTATCCCATCGGGATACAAGTAAAATAAACTTAGTATCCAAAACCAAATTTCAGTATTCCGTGGATATCGGACCCTGTCTTAGCTAGAGGGCCGTGTTATCACGGCCAAGAATTGAAAAACACAGGTAGATAAAATGAACGCGGCTTCGTTACTTAGGGCCTGTTCATATGATCCCGCTTACCGGGACGTCTCGCTTACCGAGACAAATATTTCCGTGCGTTCATATGGAGTATTTCGTCCCGCTTGCCGAGATGAAATTACAATGTAGTTCTATAATTAGCGTATGCAAAACTTCTACATTTCAGTCAAGCAACACAAATACTTGGCGATTTTAGTGTTTTTCTTCGTTTATTTACAAGAAAAAGTATTGCTTCAGTTGGTTATTTAATACTTGTTTACAAAACAAACATAAAACCAAGTAAAAAGTGTTAAATTAAACCGGCAAGACTTGTTTCACTTCATCCCGGTAAGCGGGCTGGCGTGTTCATATGGAAATATTCATCCCGCCTACCTATGATCTCGGCAAATTCAAACGAGATCTCGGCAAGCGGGCCAGCTCGCTTTCTCATATGAACACAATGCAAAATTTTATAGGAAAATAGATAGGCGGCGAGATCATCGGTAAGCGAGACGTCCCGGTAAGCGGGATCATATGAACAGGCCCTTATATAAGGTTGTGTAAGTTCATAAAATAAGATGGTGCTACTTACAACAGACAGAATTTCTTTCTATTTACGTCATAAGAAAGTTTGTAAAATATATTGTTGTTGAAATTGGCAAAAGTGATTCGTGATGTTTTAATGTTTTGACGGATAATGGGAACCGTATGTGGTTTTAAATACCCCCAAGAGTTGCTGAAATAA